TGCAAGGGCTGCAGAAGAGGAAAGCAGTCACAGTGGCTACCCAGCACTAATTATATCTTCAGGGTTGCTGGGAGCATGCCAGCACCAAGTTGTGCACTGTGAAATGTTACTGGGGAATTGTGATTTTTAGCAGCCTAAACTCTACCAATCTGAGTGGAGCATGATGAGATCAGCAAAGACCCTCCCAGTCTGCCTATTATTGTGATTTAAGCCTGAAGGGGGAAAAGAATGAGAGCTTAGGTTTTCTGTCTCCTAGGAATTCACAGTGTGGATGGTGTCCTGGAGCCCTGAGCTGTGGCAGGTACATGTGGAGGTGTCTGTATTTAGGGCAGCAGGGTGTGAAAGAAAGTGCTAATTTGCTTTCTGTGTCCCTCTGCTTGTCTGTGTGTGCAGGGGGGATCAGAGGGTTGAACACTCTCAGCTCATCTCTTTTGAGGCTGTTTCACTCTGCAGGGTGTGATGATGGTCACTGAAACCTGAGTTTGTGTTCCTTTCCAAGGGACTCTGTGTGATCGCTCTAAGGCCATGCATCTGAATAAAGACATTGGCAATGCACTGTTTTCATTAATGCCTCTTTCTTGGGGATGTTTTGGGTGGTTTTGGATGCCTGTGTGGAATTTGAACACACTCTTCTACCCTGACAGCTGCTTTTGAAAACATCAGAAACAGATCTTTTTGTGTCTTGGGAATTACTCTGTAAGAAGTTGGATGTTAGTGAAGGGTTTGGGTATTACTGTTAGAGATCCAATTTCTCTGTTTCTTTACACGCTTGGCCCAGTGCATTTAGAACTGGCGTCTCACAAATATTTTGTGTCCAAGTGCAGTTGCTGAACTTAGAAAAAAACTCCATTTCAAAACAGCCCCACTTATCTGAGCAGTTAAACCCTTCACAGCACAGTCCTCAATAACACATGTTCCTTTATAAACCAAAGCAAAAATCTCATTTAATGCATGATTTGCTTACAGTGTTGGATAATAATAAGTATTTGTAAGTTCTTTAGTTTTTTTGGTCAAGCTTTTTAGTTTTAAAAACATTGTAGCAACTGCAATAAGCCAAAACTATGCATATGGGAAGAGATGCAAGAAACACAGTCAGTTACATCACCTGGCAAGAGTTCTGCTTTGTTCTGCATTCGTCTCTAGCCAGTTGTGAGTTAAACAGCATGTTCACAGTTTTGTCCTCAGGCTGGCAATTTTGGTTTCTGTCTCAGTGTTTCAGGCTGCTTTCAAACCAGCAGTTCTACTAATCAGAGCATCTCTGCCCTCCCTGACCTGCTTTGCTGTCCTCAGACTTCCCGGTACAAGCATCTCTGTGGCTGTTTAATGAATCAGGTGTGGGGACTGATCTGAGTAGAGGAAAATGTCGTTTAATCCAACCCTTCTGGGTTTGAGTCAGCCCAACTCAGTGTGAATGTCTGAGCAGCAGCTGAGTGCTGCAGGGAAGGCACCCAGGCCAAGCCTGCTCTGGCACCAGTGCTTGCTTGTGTTGGTTGAGGTGTTCCCAGACCAGAACAGCAGTCTGGGTGCACTGAAGGTTGTGTTTTATCTGATTGGAGCTGTCCCTGACAGGTGAGATCCCACTCTGCTCTCCCTCCTCTCCTGGGGCTGCTCAGTGATTCCTTGGCTGCAGGATGAGCTGTCGGGGTGCTAAGCCTGGAAATGTTTGGCTTTCTCCTGTTTAAATTGGTGAAGTGATCCCATTCACAGAGTGATTCTGTGACCAGTAGATCCAGTGTCAGACTGGGACATGGAAATGCATGGCTGGGACCAAGGATGAGGCTGTGTTGGGTCAGCCTGAGCTCACTGCCACTGAAGCACAAATGAAACCACATTTAGCTCTTTAGAACAGTTCCCAGAACCACAGCCCGCTGCTTGTCTTGTCTGTGCAAACCCTGCTACAGATGGAGGCCTCTTCAAACCAAACTGTTGGTTTGTTTAAAGAAATTAATGTAAATAAATCCCCATGTGGATGCAGATCTTCTCCCTATAGTGTGTTAAATGCTTTACACAGAACATCAGTAGAGGCGTAGAATGTGTGTAAGTGTTTTGGGTGTAGTCTGCTCTTGTGTATCCCTTCTGGATTCAAATTTCTATTTGAATTCAGTTTTAATTAACATGAGGACACAATCCAGAAGTTCTGAGGGATTAGTACTGATGCTTACCTATTAAAAATTTAAACAGAAACAGACATATCCCAATACATGTGCTGAACCACATCTCTGCAGCTCAAACTGGGAAACGATGTGTGAGAGCTCATTTAATGCTGCTGCTGAGTCCAAAGCCCCAGGACTTCTCTCCCTTTTTTTTGAGACTCTGTGTGTGGGTGGGCAGTGGTGTGATCCAGGTTAGTAGTTTATCATTCCTCACAGTCCACAGATTTACAGACTCCAGGAGTTAGCACAGAATTAAATTGGGTGCAGCTCTGCTGATTTCACTGTGCTTTCCTTGACTCTGTTTCATCCCTCCTCTGGGGGGATGTTGGGGTGATACCTCTGAGCTGGCAGGAAGCCACAGGAGCCTCTTTGCTCTTTGAAACAGCTGAGCTCTGGCTTTTGCTGTGTGGATCAAGCGAGTGCTGCTGTTGGGTAACGTTCTTTGTTCAGTTGAGTTTTTTGGTTTTGGTTTTCATCATCTTCCTGTTCCAAGGTCTTTGTGACTTATTATATGTTCTTAGCTGGTTATGGCACAAACATTTAACCTTTTCTCACAGGTTGCCTATGCTGGCACTAATTCTTGGTGTTCTGTGGTCTGTAGTTACTTTCATTGTCCTGTTCCAGAAACTCTGCCCATTCCTTTTCCAAGCTATAGCTGGGGATGCATCTAGAGCAGATGTAGATGTTCTGGAGGAGTGCTTTTTCTTAGACTATTATTTAGTGTCTGAGGCGTTCTAGCAGCCTACTATGGAAAAAATAACTTTACTCCTTCCATTTTATCTCTTCCTCCTGCATTCCCCTGCCCTTATCATGCCAGGAAGGTGGCACATGGCTGTGTATCTCAGCCACTCTGGACTGTCTTTTCCCATTTCCTTTTCCATAGTTCCCAACCCTTTGGATGGCTGATCAGCATTTCTGTGTGAGTGCAAGAGCTGAGTGCTGGCTGTAGGGAGCCTCCAGCTGGGACAAGCCAGGACTGGTGTCCTGCTGGCAGGATATAGGATGGCAGTGTCCCTTCTGCCCTGTGGAGCTAAAGATGTCTGCAAACAGGGGCCTGCAAACAGTAAACCCAATTTCCTTGCTGTTCAGTGTTCCATAGGTTTTTTCCCTTCCCAGTGCAGTACTGAGTGGCCATGTGCCTGGTGAGGCCTCTTCAGAGTTAAATGGGCAGTCTGGATAATCAGTGTTTGGGGAAACAGTCCTTGAGGCAGAGTCCCAGGGACTGCAGCCATGGGCCAGAGTCCTGCTGTGCCAGGCAGTATACAGGAAGGAGGTGAAACTTTTTCAGAGAATGTATTTACAAGATCCAAGAAATACTTGTGGTTTTTGCTCTGTTGTTGGTATGATGAGCATCACCTTCAGTTCCTCAGCAGTTCACCAGCCACCTCTTGAACTAGGCTGGCTCCTTTCACCTACTGGAGGTGGGGGGCAGAAGTAAATTTTAGAGTTTAAACTTGTAAATGGACAAAGTTTGTGGACTTGAAAAAGGAAATCCTGTTGTGATGGGGAGTTTGGGTTTTGGAGGAGAAGTTGAATGTCCTCACACAGGTGATGACAATGGGAGGAATACATGATCTGCAAGTCTTCAGTTTTCTTTAGGAGTAAAAATTCATTCCTGCAGTCAGTGTTTCCAGTGGGGGTCTTTCCCTTGTCCCTGGCAATTCCCCCTCTTGTCAGAGGTGTAGCTGCTGCCCTGGAGTGTTTGCAGTCCTTGTGGCAGAGCAGCTGGCTGTTCCTGCAGGAGCACTTGGGAGCTGAGCACAGCTGCTTCTGGGCAGCCAAGGGAAGGTGTGAACACTGGAAATGAAGCAGTGGAGGGAACAGCAGCAGCAGGAATGTGGTAACAGGTAGAGAGCAGAGTACAAGCCCACTGTGAGCAGGGTATGCACACACCAGTTGTGTTTGATAACAACCAGACTGTCCTGGGGGTACTCCCTGTCCTGTGCTGGAGAGTGGAGAGAAAGGGGGAGGCTGCAACAGGGATGGGGCAAACTGGGAGTGGAGGAAAATCTCAGAAAAGCAGAACAGCCTTTGTTGGCCGTGACCCATCAAGATAATTGAATCCAACTCCTGACCCTGCCCAGGACACCCCAACAATCCCACCCTGTGCATCCTTGAGAGCATTGTTCAAACACTCCTAGAGCTCTGGCAGCCTTGGGGCCATGCTCATTCCCTGGGGAATCTGTGCAGTGCCCAGAGAAAACCTTTCCCAAACACCTGGGTAGCAAATCTGGTTTTTTTATTTTTCCTTGATGGTTAATAAGAAAATTCTGTCTGGTTGAGAGGCAGTAAATGGCAACTTTCCATATTCTGCTTTTGTTCATTTGGACAAAATAAAAACAAAGCCCCCATTTGTTAAACCTGTAATGTCACAATGTGAAACTGTTTCAGCTTTTCCAGTAAGTCACTGGTTTTCTTAAGTACTGTGGTGCTTTGTTTGTGACTTTCCAGTGGCCAACTTTTGGGCTGACACTGAGCTCACGTGGCCACCAAGCAGCCTGTTGGAAATGAACCTTATTCCCTCTCCCTGTTTGTTTTTTTTTTCCTTTCTAACTTGTAAGACGACAGTAAGATAACAATAAGGTTAGAAATGTAATGAAGCTGTTGGAAATGAATAGACTAGAAATGAATAGAAGTGAGTCAGGTTGTGGTGAAAACCTAAATGCAGGGCTAAGCCAGGTTTATTCAATGCTGTTTCTAAATTCTTTTCCTTGAAGGGGAATATATGAATAGGAGGATTTTTGAACTTGAATTGAGGAATTAACCAATGAAAATGAAACAAACTATGACAATAACTAAATTATGAAGCCATCCAATGACTCTTTTCTTCCTTTTTGTTTCCCATAGGCCGAACTCACGGGCATCAAATGGCGTAGGTACAACTTTGAAGGCCATGGGGACTGTGGGCCCATCATTTCAGCTCCAGCCCAGGATGATCCCATCCTGCTCAGCTTCATCCGCTGCCTGCAGGCCAACCTGCTGTGCGTGTGGCGCCGGGACGTCAAACCCGACTGCAAGGAGCTCTGGATATTCTGGTGGGGGGACGAGCCCAACCTAGTCGATGTCATCCACCGAGAGCTGCACAGTAAGCCACTCTTTGCTTCTCAATTACCTCCATTCTTTCCAGTGAAAAATGATTTTTATTTAAATGCTTTAACTTGCTACCTTATGTGATTTTGTCACAGTTCATGTTTTAAGACCTACAGGAAAACAAAAACCTGTAAATTTGACTTTTTTTGCCGCGCGATAAAATGCAAAGTGAAAGTTGAACTCAGGAGACCTGTAGTCAATATCATGACTTGGATTTTTGTGAAACCTCTGAAAGTAGAGTAAATTCTAGTTCCAAGGGATGATGATCATAATAATGATAATAACAATACCTCAGCTCTGGCATAAGGTAGTAGCTGATGGAATAAATCACCTCTCCTGTACAGTCAGGTGAACTCCATGGCACCCCAGGTAAATCTGTGAGGTCAAGACTTGCTCCTTGCTCGTGCTGCAGGATTTGAGCATGATCCAAGGCGGGTTGAAACAAGTGAGTGGAATAGGAGGCAGGAAGAGGCAGGTAGGTCAGAGGTGACAGTGATAATTTGGTGATTATAGGCTTTGTGCAACTGGGATTGTCCTCAGAGTCACCAGAATGTGGAGCCTTAACATGATTAAGTTACTTCCACTGTATCTGCTGTGATCCTGTTTGGGTTGACTATATCCAGTGTGTATTGTTTTCTTTTCAGTGGTGTATTGTTGCTATGACAAGTCTTAGTTTGCCTGAACTACAAGGTGTTTTATTAGGCTGATGAATTTTACCTCCATTTTCACCTTGTGTCCTGCAAGAAAACAACTGAAGTTCACCAGTTCTGGAATAATAACAGTAGTTAAAAAAATCCAAGACAATCATAAGGATCAAGTTCCGGTTTCTTGCAATAATTTTTTATCCTTGTGGCCTTTAGACCTTCTGGTGACTTGGTGATAAAATTTGTTTCAAGTACACAGAATATTTTGTTTATCAAGTGTACTTGAGTTGTCCCTTATCTCCCACCTGTACCCTGCACTGTTTAGTCCTGGGTTATGGTATATTCATTTATTTTCATTCTGTTCTAAGCACAGTTCCAAACTTTCTCCTTTGATGGCTGCCAGATTGTTTATTTGGCACCAGAGCCTGTGAAATCACAGATATGGAGGCCTGAGTACCTTGGGGTGTGTTCCACACAGGTAGCCCTGTGATCATGTATAATTAAAGAGATGGCTCACAAGTGCTGTGCTGAGCCATTCCACTGACATTCATTTTTTATGAGGCACCTGTTTTGAATGAGGGAATGGGTAATATTTCTACTTACCCAGCAAAGCTTTAATAATATATGCTTTTCTCTTAGTGAAATATAGTTTATTAAATATTTCAAATGCAGTAGATGGGACTTAAGTGTCTTTTTATTTGAGGAGAGTTGCAGGTGATGCTTCAGTTTCTGTAAATTGATGGAGCTTGTTTATATCTGACATCTTGGTTACAACAACGTGATGCTGCTTCCAGTGGTGGTGGTCTGGAAATCCACTTCAATGTCTGGACAGCTGAACCTGCTTCTGCTGGGTGCACTGTGGGGCAGAATAAAGCAAAGTAGCACTGTCACACATTGTCTGCCTGGTTCAAAATTGTCTGGAATCACAGAATTATTTAGTTCGGAAAAGATTTCCAAGGTCATTGAGTCCAACCTGTGTCTGATCCCCCAGCTGGAGCACTGAGTGCCACATCCAGGTGTTCCCTGGACACCTCTTTTTCTCCAGGCTGAGCCCCTTTCCCAGCTGCCTCAGCCCCTCCTGGGGCTGCAGCCCCTTCCCAGCTCCATTCCCTTCCCTGGACCTGCTCCAACCCCTCAAGGTCCTTCCTGAGCTGAGGGGCTCAGAACTGGACACAGCACTTGAGGTGTCCCCACATCCGGGCTGGAGCCTTCAGAGCAGTAACCTCTGAGTGGAATTCAATCTGAAACTTGTTTGTTGTCATGTGTGTAAATCCTACAAGGATAGATTTCCTTGTTCTATATTAAAAGCACATTGAAACACTTGCAGTGACTTATCAGATATAGTTCAAAGTGATGTAAATTGTGTAAGTGTTGTACATTTTCTGCTTATAGAGCTGTTGGGCTCTGTTCTGTAACATTTTAGAGTTCAAACATCAGTATTGACAAAATATTGAGCCTCAAATTCAGCCAGAACAAGGCATTTATGTCCATTGATTCCTTGAGACAGGACAAAGGACACAGTTTGTGTTCACTGCTTCATGCAGCCAGAATGCAAACTGAACAAGTTTATTCTGTTTTTTATGGTATGAACAGACCACAATACTGAACTATTTGATAGTTGAAATTAGCTTCCTGAAAATATAAAGGGCTTTTCCATGTGGGCATACAAACAGAAAACAGGAAAGTTACTGAAGCAGAGTTTTCCTTGCCTGTCAGCTGGGCCAGGGTAACCTGATGCCTTTTTCGGGTATAACCTACTCAGGAAATGAGCTGCTTTGGCTTAAAATGCTGTTCCTGCAGGTTGGATTGTCACTGTTACTTAGAGTTCCATAGCCAGAACTTTGTTGTTGTGCTGTCACATCTTCAGGAGCACAAGTCCCAGGAATGTGATGCTGCAAATCCAAGAGCAAGACTAGAGTCTCCCCAAAACATTGACATCTGAGATATAGGGACTATAGGGAATAATGCCTGTTAGTAAGATCATGAATTCTTATCAAGAATAAAGTTTTGGATTTCTCTTTTCCTGCCTCAGACTTGTGTGTTGAAAGTGAAATATTTTATTGATAACTAAATTGTAAAGAATTTAATTTTTAAATATTTTGTTTTATTAATTCAAGTCTAAATTATAATTTTTGATTTTTTTTCTGGATAAGAGAGTCACTGCAGTAGTGCTGTATGATATTTACTGCTTTCAGTAAACAGAAGAAAAGTCCAAACTGAGGCTTTGCTTTCAGAAGCACTTCAAAAACTTTTGCTCATGAACTCTTTATCTTTATAACATTGAAGATTTGGTAAACAACAAATCTGCCATTAATAAAAGAATTTCAAATAGTCTTAAGAAAACAACTTAGTGTTTGTAAACAGGAGGTATGAGGAGAGTTGTTTATGTAGTAGCTTTCCAAAACTGTGGATAATTAAATGCTGTCATGGGAGATTAAGTAAAAACAATTATTTGCAGGGCAGTTGTAGATCAGTGGAGTGGTTGGATTAACCAGGCAGCTGGGAACTTCAGAACTGTCTCTTGCACATTCTCCTACATTTCTTCTTCCTGCCAGCCTTGACTGTGGTGTTCTGGTTTTTATTGTGCTGGCATTTAAAACTGGATGAGAGGCTGAAGATGTTTATTCAATCCTGGGTAGAAAAATCTGATTAGGGTGGGGTCAGTGAGTGAGGAAAAACTGGAGTGATTCTGTAAGTCTGAAAAAGTTGGGCACGCTTAAGTTTGTTGAAGTTTGGTTTCCTGAAGGATAAATGCTATTTAATGATATTGCCTGGAGAGGTTTGGCAACTGTTCCAGCTCTGGTACCTTTCCCCACAAATCCATTTTTTTGTACATCACACAGAAGAAGTGGAAGGAGAGGAGGGAGTGTCTGACTGTTGGCAGCGTTTCTGACAGGAACGTTGTGGATTTGCAACTTGCAGAGCTCTCATTTGCATTTGGTGACCAAATACCATCTGGAGCATCACAGAGAATTTAGACTCAACTCTGGGGTTTTCTTTCTTCTCCCACCCCTGCCCTAGACCCTGTGGGTTCCACAGAGATTATAGGGAAGGGAGATCTGTTCCTCGTTTCCCTTCTTGGCTTTTGCAAAGAGCGCTTTGCCCTGACATTTTACACCACTCCAAGAGTTGGACTTGATGATCTTGTGGGTCTCCTTCAATTCAGACTATTCTGTAATTCTCTGACAGTTTTGTCTATCAATTTATAATCTCTGACCTGGATTTATGGATACATTCCACTTTGCTGCATTTGTGGTACGGAATATTGGAATTCTCAGGTTTAATGCAGGGATTATGATATGTACCACTACTGAGAATACAGGTTGGTGACTGTGAGCACAACACTGGAGGTGGACTCTGGAAGGCTGGCAGGATGTGAGACAGGAGTTTGAAAAGTAATAAATTCTGGGGTTTTGGTAGTTCTTTAGGTAAAACTGCATCTTTCTATCAGCTTAGTAGCTTGTGTGCCTGAACTCACTGATTCTGGTAGGTATTTGGGATTTCCATCTATATATTGCACTTGATCCATTAATTTCTGGAGCTGCTTCCCCAGAAAAATGATACTATTTCACTTTCTGCTGTGTAGAATATAAGAATTGGGATGGAAATGCTTATGAAGAATAGATGATCTTGAATGAATTAGGCAAGTCTTTCTTGAAGGATTATTGTACATGATCTTTGCAGCTTGGTAAGTTTAAAAATGTAGCTGAAATTTGAGCTATGACAGGAAAAACCTGGAGCTTCAGCTCGTTCCTGTTTATGAATTCTTGGCATATCAGGCTGGCGCAGCCGTAATCCCCTGGTGCTGATAAAAGTGAGCAGGGAAAAATGCTGCCTGTAGGAAGAGCTGTGTGCAGGGCACCCACATTATCCCACGTGGTTGTGCCCCAAAATTAATTTTCTTATTGTTTCTCTACCTGAAATTTGCTGATTTTTACCTACAGGAAAGCAGAACATGTCAGCTCTGTTTTTAAGGGTTTTCTCCTTAGGAGAACAACTTGCCCCAGAACTCAATTTAGTTGTTTTTATTCCTGCTAGGAAGGGTTCTTATGCTACCTTATGAACTGCCAGATTTCAGAGTTTCATTTAGCAGTCAAGTCAGTGTTTAAACTGTAAATGTTTAGTAGTTGGTGCTTGTCAGCATTTAGTAGGGATTAAAAGAAAAATAATGGAAAATTTGGAAAAAATTATATTTTTTGGTTCCACTAATGTAAAAGAGAATAAAGTAGTGAAAACTCTACTTTCCATCTCAATTTGAGCCTATTTAAGGTTCTTTCAGGGTACTGTATTATTTCTGCAATTGTGAGGAATTGGGAGCTCTGTCAGGAATTAGAGTATCTTCTAAGCTGTG